TATTTTATTTATTTTATTTATTTTATTTTATTTTATTTTTTATTTATTTTTTTATTTTATTTTATTTTATTTTATTTTATTTTATTTTATTTTATTTCTATACCGCCCTTCTCCCAAAGGACTCAGGGTGGTGTACAGCCTGATTAAAAGCACAAAGACAGACAAAATTTAAAAATAATTAAAATCATTAAATGATAGATTCAATTATAAAACCCCAAATTTAAAATCCCATATTTAAAAACCAATTAAAATCTTTACATTGATAGCCCAGCCTGACGGAACAACAAGGTTTTGAGGACAGCGAAATACATGAAGATCAGAGATTATACGAATTCCTGGGGGCAGTTCATTCCAAAGGGCAGGGGCTCCCACAGAGAAGGCCCTCCCCCTGGGTGTTGCCAGCTGACATAATTTGGCCGATGGCACCCTGAGGAGACCCTCTCTGTGGGAGCGAACTGGCCGGTGGGAGGCTACTGGTGGCAGAAGACAATCTCGAAAATATCCAGATCCAATGCCATGGAGCGCTTTAAAGGTGGTAACCAACACCTTGAATTGCACCCAGAAGACCACTGGGAGCCAGTGCAGCTCGCACAGGAGGGGTGTCACGTGGGCACAATGAGTTGCACCCATAACCACCTGCGCAGCCGCATTCTGGACCAGTTGGAGCCTCCGGGTGCTTTTCAAGGGGAGCCCCATGTAGAGATCATTGCAGTAGTCCAGTCGGGAGGTGACAAGGGTATGAGTGACTGTGCGCAAGGCATCGCGATCCAGAAAGGGCTGCAATTGGCGGATCAGACGAACCTGATAACCCCCCCCCGGCCATGGCCGTCATATGTTCTTCTAAAGACAGCCATGCGTCCAGGAGGATGCCCAGATTGCTAGCCCTCTCTGTGGGGGGTAAAGACTTACCCCCAATAGTCAGTGATGGCACCAGCTGACTATATCGCAATGCCAGGAACCACAGCCACTCAGTTTTGGAGGGGTTGAGTCTGAGCCTATTTCTTCCCATCCAGACCCGCACGGCCTCCAGGCAGCGAGACATCACATCAAGGGCATCGTTGGGGTGGTCTGGGGTGGAGATGTACAGCTAAGTATCATCAGCGTACAGGTGGACTCTCACCCCAAAACCACGGATGATCTCACCAGCGGCTTCACATAAATGTTGAACAGAAGGGGCGAGAGGACCGACCCCTGCGGCACTCCCCATACGAGGCGCCTCGAAGTCGACCTCTGCCCCCCTGTAACACGAACTGCGAGCAGTCGGAGAGGAAGGAGGAGAACCACCGCAAAACGGTGCCCTCTATTCCTAACCCCCTCAACCGCTGCAGCATGATACCATGGTCGATGGTATCAAAAGCTGCTGAGAGATCTAACAGGACCAGGACAGAGGAGCAACCCCTGTACCGAGGCCTCCAGAGATCATCCACCAACGCGACCAATGCTGTTTCTGTGCTGTACCCCTGCCTGAAGCCCGACTGGTACGGGTCCAGATAGATAGCTTCATCCAGGTGCCTGGGCATTTGTCATGCCACCACACTCTCAACAACCTTTAATCTTAATCAAATTCAATTTTTCCCTTCTATTCTATATTATACCCCTTCCCATTGTCATCTATTTATATCCATCCTCACATTGGTTGATTATTTAATATTACAATTGTTTAATACAAATTCAACATTTTTATATAAATCCATTAGTTATATAACTACCTTTTTTGTATTTTAATCAATATGAACATGAATATTCCAATTATTTCCATCCAATCCAATTTCTTACAAATCAATTAATTATATTTACCAATAATAATAAACCAAATAATTTTCCCCATATATTCCTCCAGACCACAACTTAACCATTTCTGCTTTCAACACAATATACAATTAATAGTATCTCAATTATTACAATTCCCTAGTTAAATAGAGCTTTTTTTCTTTTGTGTTTTAAAATCTTGAACTCTCCTCTTTTGCCCTAAATTTCCCATTGTTTGCACCTACCTTTTTTGGTGAGCAAAAAGAAAAATAAATCTTTCCCTGTCTCATTTTGTCATGTTGCAGAGCCTGCTTTACTTTCAGTTTTGTTTTTTCAGCATAGCTAGGGGAAAAAAAATCTGCTCCAGCACTCTTTGCAGCTAGCAGGAGAGCCCTGTGCAAAACAACTGAGAGCAAATCAGCTGAGAGTCGGGAGGCCGATCTAATCAACTTGTGATAATTAACCTATACTGGAGGTGAAAGGGGCTGTTTTTTCTTGCTGTTTGCTTGCAAGGAGGTAACTGCTGCGAGGCACAGGCCAAAGGGTGGGGGCCAGTGGGTGGGCAGGGCTACATTCTGTGTATAAGATGCACTTAAATTTTCACCCCCTTTTGGGGGATAAAAAGATGTGTCTTATACTCTGAAAAATACGGTGTGTAGATATATTAAGTAGAATTCAAGGCATAGATGTAATAAAAATCTATTTTTTCCCTGATCTTTAAAGAGAAACTATGGACTTCGAGTTCTCTGAGGAGGGAAGTGCTATACATCCCAATTTGTTTGTTTGTTTGTTTGTTTACTTACTTACTTATTTGGCAAACATATCCAACATAGTTCTTCTATGTTCCTCACAATCTGACAGAGTGACTGGCCCAAGATAGGTTTCATGGGACTAAGGGACACTGAATGTATAATATGTAGCACCATGTTGCCTACCTATAATTTCTCGGCATGGATGAATTTAAATGCTGATTTAATAATAATAGCTATGATCATGTAATGAAAAATCCCCAGCCCTTTTTAATGTGCATTGCATTGCACAATTTTGACTTTTATAAGGTCACTTATATGCATCTAGTCCAAGATTGGCTTTAATGTGGCAATACTCTAAAGAAAAATGTAATGGACAATTTTTATCTTATCTCATTATTGAGAAAATATTTGGACTTCAGTTTCAATGGTTTTGAAAGACGTAAATTATAGTGAATATTGAGCAGGGTTTCTAACTTAGAAATAATACAAAGATGACATTGATTATACTTGTTGATGATCTCTAGGAACAGGATTAATGCATTTATTCTGCCCTTCTTAATCTCTCAGTAGTATTTGAAGCCATCAGCCATAGAATTCTGAAGGTGAACCATAATCATTCTGGTAACCCTAGAAAATAGGTTAATCTCTCAGCCCAGTTTAAGCCTCTGGAGAAAAAGCCTTTTACAGAGACCCAACAGGTCAGAGCCATAAAAGTCACAGATATCATTGGGGATAAAGCTTCTCAATTGATTAAAAAGTCAGGCACACACACTTCAAATCTTTTTAAAATAATAGCCTACTTTTGTTATTCTACTATTGTAGAAACCATACAGAAGATATGAAGCAAGAATTAAGAATTGATAGGACCAATAGCAGTAGGGAGGAAGGGTTCAAACAATGATGTCCTGCATATCCAAATCAAGATCAGGTCATCTCAGAAGCATGATAATAGAAAAGTGATCATGAGAAAGTAATAACACCAAAGCATATTTTCATTTCCATAGTAGATGAGGATGAGAAAGAGGATGGCTTCTGACAGCAACTTTTTGTTTCCACTATTTTTTAAATAAAAAGGAAAACAGTATGGAAAACATTGGGTAGCATGAATAATATGTGAGATATATATATCACCCCCACACTCCCATGCCCACCCACCCACCAACCCACCCACCCCCACACACGTGTGTGTGTGTGTGTGTGTGTGTAAAGAAAAAAGCAGATATCCTGCGAGCTCTGGAATTTAAAATTTTAAAATAATTAAAATTTTATTTAACTAAGCTTTCGTCAGCCATCTGCTGACATAGTCAGAGTATTAAACTACCATTACAGAGATCTCTGCTTTTATATGCCATTAATCAATTTGGCCCTTGTAATAGGCACTTCCAGCCGTCTCCCACTTGTAATCAGCTGTGTTGTTTTTGCTGTCGTCATGCTGGATGATGGAGGCTTAATCTGGAGCTCGCAGGTTGTCTGCTTTTCTTTACTAATATACCTGGAACTCGTATTTTTAGAATAGTTTGTAATATATGTAATATATATAGAACAAAAGAGCTGTATGAATGGATTGTTGGAATCATACCTATACTCAGCAATGTATTCCTAACTCTGTAGTGAAAACAATTCTTTTCCTTATTTCATTTACTAAGGAAGGAAAAGAAGATCATCAGGCACAAAGAACTAAAGTTTCTTACCCTTTTCATCCTATTCCCAGCTATATTCAGCTAAATATATAGAAAAAAGTCACTAAAAGTAGAATTTCTTAACACTAGACCACCTGATATCTGTCCCTAATTTTGAAATTGGAATTATTGTTTAAGATGGAAAATTTATGTATAAATACCTATTAAATTTAGATCACTTGTTATATTTACTTAAATGCAATTTATGGTGGCTTGTCTCCAGCATTTCCAAATTTCCGACCTTTTTCTACATTTTTTTTATATTTCTTCTACTTCTTCTTTTTTATATTTACTTAAAATTATATATGTTTATCATTTAAGACTGGCTATTACAGGTATACAGTTCTGCAAAAGATATTTGCCAGTGAAATCCAGTTTTTCTCCTACAAATTTTTAGTATTGTTGTCTACTAAGGAGCAATAGCACTTAGACTTATATACCACTTTACAGTGCTTTATAGCCCTTTCTAAGCAGTTTGCAGAGTCAGCATATTGACCCCCCAACAATCTGGGTCCTTATTTTACTGACCTCAGAAGGATGGAAGGCTGAGTCAACCTTCAGCCTGGTGAGACTGGAATTGTCAAACTGCTGGCAGCCTGAAGTACTGCATTCTAACCTCTGAACCACCATAGGTCTTTGTATGTTATGGAATACCAATACACATATGCAAAACAATAAAAATATTATTTTTGCCTGCTGAAATAAATTCCATTAATCATCAGTCTAATGATCACTAATCATATTTTCAGGACTTAAATTGCAAAGCATTTTTTTCAGTGCTTCCTTGACATCCTGATTCCTTAAACAATAAATGCATGGATTCAGCATGGGAGTAACAATAGTGTACACAACTGACACAAGCTTATTCATGTTAAAAGAATGGATTCTCCTAGGTCTTGCATACATGAAGACTGCAGCTGAGTAGAATATAATAACCACTGTGAGGTGGGGAGGCACAGGTAGAAAAAGCTTTACTTTTTCCTTGCCTCGTAGGGATACGTAAAATGGTGCCTATGATAAATGCATAGGAGCCCATTGTGACAGAGAGTGGAATTAAAAGGATAAGAAGAGCAAATACAAAGTCAACCATTTCAGCCACAGTGCGGTCAGTGCAGGAGAGATTAAGCAAAGGGGAAATGTCACAGAAGAAGTGGTTGATGACATTGGGCCCACAAAAACTCAAACGTGAAATGAAAAAAACTTTGAGCATAGAAATTAGGAAACCAGTGAGCCAGGAACCCACTGCTAGCTGCAAGCAAAGCTGGGATGTCATTATAACAGGATAGCGCAGTGGGTGGCAAATGGCAACATAACGATCATAAGCCATGACAGCCAACAGGCCACATTCAGTGCAGGCTAGGGATAAGAAGAAATACAGCTGAGCCATGCAGCCTGCATAGGAAATGCTTTTATCTGTTGCCAAGAAGTTAATCAGGAGTTTTGGAACAGTCACAGAAATATACCAAGTCTCCAGGAAAGACAAGTGGCTGAGGAAGAGATACATGGGTTTTTGGAGGGAGTATTTGTCCTGATGAGGATGATGATCATGGTGTTCTCCACAAGAGTGAGGATATAGATACAAAGAAATACTACAAATAGCAATCTCTGAAGTTCTAGAACTGTGGGAAAACCCAGGAGGATAAATATCTGGACTCTGGTTTGGTTGTTCAATTCCATGCCTCATATACCAATCTGCAGGGGAAAATTCAGTATATGTGAAAGGATGAATGGAAATATCAATAAATGAAATGAAGGTTTCTTGCAGTTCTTCATCTCAGAGTTTGCTAAATATTCAGAACTTGGATAATGCTGTTTCTGGATTCCTGAAAAGGCAATGTTATACACAATGAAAAAAAAATCAATACATAAATTATACAAGTAAAACATGCATATGCACATATACACACAAATTGGGCTTGTCTGTGAATTCCTTTTGGTCAATTATTTACATTTTTATTTAAGTTCTTGAATAGCCACTTTTCCTCATTCTATCCTACTTCTATAATTATAATTCTGAACTTTTTGGATTAGTAATATAGAAAATATTACATATTTTGTGGCTGTATTGAATTCTTTATATAGAACATTGTTCAAACATAAGGCAGATAAGAAGGAAAGAAGGAAGGAAGGAAGGAAGGAAGGAAGGAAGGAAGGAAGGAAGGAAGGAAGGATTTTTTAAAAAATTTCAACATTTAATGAACTTCAGAAAAATAATATAAATAATGGTCTAAGTTCATATCTTTTTCATCTGTCTATATTTATATCACCTCTGAATAGCCAAATTATTTACTATGCAAATTAAAATAAAAGTAGTTATAATTATGTAAAAACAAAAATAATTAAGAAAGAGAAAATACAAAGATTTAAATTAAATTTAAATCATGAGAAGCATGAAAATCGATTAAGTTCTAACATCTAGATATTATATTCGGCTATGTCCAAATTACAATGAAAACATATTGAAATGACTCTTACCTTCTTTTCATTCATTGGCATGACATATTTAAGATCAAGCAATCAGATGAAATATCTTGTTCCCAACCAAGTAAACAAAATATAAATCAGGAGGCAAAGTAAATATGTTATATCTAAGATATAATTTCTTGGATTCCTGTGAATACTACAAAGTGACTTAAGGAAATAAAAATGAAGAGAAGATGAATTTAGCACACATATATGAATACATTTCCCTTCCTTAGAATTTTTTTAAAAAAATAATTATCACTGAAAGAAAATAAATTTCATCAGAAGTGAGAAAATTGAAAGATTATAGCTTGCAGGTTGCTTTTACTCCAGTACTTTTTTTGCTCAGCAAGATCCTTAATTTAGATTTATTCATCCTAGTTAATATGTCAAATGTTCCATAGTATAGATATGGTTCAGCATCACAGCATGACACATTCATAAAGATAATTTTTGAAGTCTCAACAGAACCTTTATTCCTCAGTGCTTCCTCAACAGCAATCCTGCTTGTAACTTGACTCAAGCTTGTCAACAGTTTGGTCCTGCAGCTTGATATAACATAAAATATTATCAAGCTGAAGCTGTGCAATATCCCCATCTGTGGGCAAGAAACTCTTCAGGGAAGAAAGACTAAATGTCCTTTTAATATGTAACATTTTAAAGAGGCAGAGAAAAAAGTTGAGTAAGTCAAAGACCAAGGACTTAGTTTCAGGGCTAAACCAGCCCATTATAATTGGGAAGCTGAAATTAGCCATGTGCAGATAGGTCAAGTGTAAAAAAATATACTATGAAGTACTATAAAGTTTTGTGCATAGCTTTCATCCAGTTTGTGGGGTGTGTCCAATTATAATCAAAAGAACCCTGATAATCCCTTTAACTCTAGTGAGTGTTCAGTATAAATAGCATCCAATTTATTTTTAATTTATTTTTATTTTATTTTTTTGCATTCAAGTGGTCAAACTTACAAGAATCTTACTGAGGTATGCATAGCAAACACTTTTGTTTTAGTAAATTGCCTATAACTGCTCATGGCATCCAGAGTCTTTAAAATAGGAATAAATTTAGAGGTTGGTATTTTTCAGCAACCCAATTTTCCAGCATCTTGAGCTCTTTCTTTTTTAAAATAAAATAGTCAAGTGAAGCAGGAAAACTAACCATCACTAAGGGTTTGCTTTTGTGTGTGACCATGTTCCCATAGGATTCGTATGATGAGCATGTCCGAACACATTCCATGCTGCCTGGAATGAAGTTCCATAACCCATTAGCTTCTAAAGCACTAGGAGGGAAATGTTGTTAAACATCTATCATAACTGGTGAAGTTAGCTTCATTATCAGTGGTCTAGATTTCTGCTCTTTTGATTGATAAAACCTGCAGTCGGCCAATGAGTACTGCATAGAAGTAGTGGTTAATACTATCTCATGAGAAGTGGTGGAGTCTCCTGCTTTGAAAGAAGAGCTTATTTCCTATCCCTCAAGAAGTCATATCCTGACGCTATAACTTTGGAACTCTATTAGCATTGGTCAACCTGTCCATTGTAGAAGCACTGAATTCAAATCATAATAGTAAAAATAGGGGAGGTTAAAAGAAAATATAACTTTATATGCTTTTCTATATAAGGCAAGGCAGAAAGAGAAATATATAGACATTCTCACCACAATGACAGCAAAACAAAATTGTGGAGGTTTCCTACCAAAGGAGAGAAATCCACAGCTTTTAGCTTTACATACACTTGCTAAAGAAAATACATTTTTTGCATGGGTACCATTTCACTTGGAAGTAGAGAAATAAGAATCATATTTCTGATTTGAAGAAAAAGAAGAATAAAATTTCCTTGTCAGCTTGTACAGAGCTCTGGTTTTGAAAGCCATTTTACATGGTTCCTCCAATAATTGGAAGGAGAAAAAAGGACAAACTTGCTATATATAAATCTCAACCCATCATCCCAATCTATCATTGTTTTACCAAGATCATCTATTAGCAATGCAAATTGGAAATGTTGAGGGGCTATGTGCACCAATTTAGCTTATTTTTATTCTGGCATACTTTTACTATTATTTTTATTTCATCCTGTTAGTAAAGCCATTGAATGCAAAATGAAAGGACTTTAGAAGATGCCTCACATTGAATCAGGTTTAAATAATTATTAGCTGGGAGCAATCTCACAATTATTACACAACAACAGCAGTCAGTCACCAAAGATTTCTAGAATAATTTGATCTTTGCTGTGTTTTGATACATCCATCACAACTAGTGTAATATTCAAAGGAATGTGTTCTACAATTTGGGGGTTATACTGCAACTGAGAAAGGCTGCTCCATGTCTTCAGTCTTGAATCAGCATTCAGACATATTAGACAGGGGAGAATTCACTAAGAGTATCTAGAAATAATCACCATTACTTTCCAGGCTGAGGGGATGTTCAGCTGGTTTGGACCGATTTGAGCGAAATGGTAGCAGAAAGTTTGAATAGTTTGGGGGAACCAGGAAACCACACCACCAGCTGGCCCCACCTCGCCCCACCCCACCCTGCCCCACCTCGCCCCACCCACTCTTGCCTTTGCCATGCGGCCCAGCTAATCTCTGTGTCTTGCATCTGCGCCTTGCCCGCTCTGCTCACCAAAGGTAAGTATGCCACCCGCCTGCACCAATTATATATTACTACAAAGTTTGGCTGGGTGCTTTTAAAAATAAAATATGAATAAAAGCAGATGCAGAACAGAATGGAAAAATATGGAAGAGAGTGAAAATAGAGTTCTATTTATTTCTGGACAAGAACAGAATTTTTAAAAATATTCAACACATTTCCTAGCTCAATATAGCTGAACTGCTATTATGAACCAAATTAGAATCAAATAACTGGGGAATTTATATCTAAAGATTATTACATGCATTAGGCGAACTGATTTTTAATTCCTTGTTACATCACTTTTTTAATAGTTCTAGGAGCCAATTAGACAAAGCAAAAACAACCCCCCCCCCAAAAAAAACTTTTTGAGTTTGTTCTCTTATTGAGGAGTCAATACTCAAATACTGTATAAAAGCTTCCCTATTATTTGTAATCTACATAATAACCACAATGGTGACTTGGACAATTCAGTGGAAAACATCATCTCAAAAGAAATGTGTGACAAATCGTCTGGTTTTGAATATTATTATTTTGAAGTGAAATATAATAGGACTGTAAGTGGTATTTTGTAACACAGTATGAAAGAGATCTTGCAGTTTTCATATCACTGAAATTATTGAAATCACATTTGTAAAAGTAAAGGTAGAAACTTAATAGTAAGCAAACAGTAAGAGGAATATATGCAAGCAATTCTGCTCCATAAGATGGCAGATATCAGAATGTCTTTTCTTTCAGTTCTAAGTTAGTTTATTTACAGATTTTTCTTACTGTTATTTGTATTTATGGTATGAAAGATAAAAGTGTGAGACTCCTCCCTCAAATTGTCATCAGAGACTGAAGATTCATCAGTCTTCTAGAAACTGCCTTTGTCTTGTTTTGGGAAAAATATTAAGTGTCATCATTTGAGAGAGTTCTTCATCAGATGAGAATACTTACATTTTTAAAAATTACTTTCATTGCTATTAATTCAAGCTATTTTCCTCTTTATTTTTCTTCCCACAAAGTAGTACTGGAACAAAACTCCCATAATTTTATTATCTCACACACAAGATCTTCCACACATCTCCTACACACAAATGAAGGAGTAAATAAGTAAGTTAAGTAAGTAAATATATAGATGATTGTTGGGAGTATTATTTTGGTGCAGGCTTTTGTAAATGAGAAGCTTTTCTTTCTTTCTTTCTTTCTTTCTTTCTTTCTTTCTTTCTTTCTTTCTTTCTTTCTCTCTTTCTCTCTCTTTCTTTCCTTCCTTTTATTCCTCAAATATTTTGTTGTGTTTAAAATAGTTACTTTTATTTTCATCAAAAAGTAACATTTTGAACTGAAAGGCATTTTGAGCACCATTTGGGAGCTGAAAGCTAGAATATAAATATGATAATCAAAGAGAGAGCAGCAGATGTCTCATTATTTCAGTACTAATATATTCATATCCCCCCTTCTTCTGTATTCCAGTTTTTTAGAAAATGCCAACCAGATTTTAACAGCCCCATGTCCAAAACATTTGCTGGCAAAGAAATGTCTCCCACCTCTCACACAATTCAAATTACATTTTTCCTCCTTTAGGCCCAAATTTATCACTTGTGGGTTGACATTTTATCTCCTCATAGTGATGCAACTAGATTTTTGCTTTGTAGGCAATATGAGATGCCAACATCAGGAACTGGGGGAAGAACCAGTCAAATACAGTGAACTGTGAAACCATACACTTTTTAAAGGACAGTCTGTTTTACTTCATAAAATGGTAAGCTTTCTTGATTACAAAAAGTCACAAGGAATATAGATTCATTCTGATTCTCTTAAGGGTTTTTTTTTATTTAAGATTTGTTGATTCTTCTTGCTCATCTACTCTTATGAGCTATATTTCAAATATAAATTTATATTAGTAGCACTTATGTTTAAGTAAGCAACTCTAGAACTAGGTTTAATGTTTTGTTTTAATTAACCATACTTTATTGTGTACACCATGTTTGACTGGTACACACAACACATAAAACATGATTTACAAAATACATTAATTGAGAAACAAATCAATGAAATTCAAAGTTCTATACAATGTATCAACCATTCATGTGGTATTTTTCTTAGCAGGCTTTTATGTGTGTGATGTACTTTATATTGTCTCAAATATCAATGAAAGTAATCACTAGACAACTCAATAGCATTTGCAGTATATATTGCAAGTCTACAAACTTCAATTTATCCAGAATTCTCTGTTATTTTTTTCCTTGATTTGGTTTCTTTAGGAAACAACTATGCTAACTTAGTTGCATTAATTGTTCCTGTGGATTTATAGAGTTGACTTTTCTTTTATTATACTGTCTTTCCTTTAAAGGTCTAGATGTATCCCAACTTGTGTAAACATATATTGACATGCTTTTGTATTCTCTCCCCACAATTGTTTTCAACAGGTGAGAGTAAATAAGAATATAACAAATAGCTTCCTATTGTTGGGATTTTCCAGTTTTCCAGGTTTGGAGGGTTTATTCTTTACCACTTTCTTTACCATCTATTTGTTGATCCTGATTGGGAATTCCTTTATCATTGTTATAACACTAGCTGATCAGACACTCCATAGTCCAATGTATTTCTTCCTGAGAAAT